TGTATATTAGTGTAGTGTATCGTGTAGTGTATAGTGTAGTGTATCGTGTATAGTGTAGTGTATCGTGTAGTGTAGTGTATAGTCGTGTAGTGTATAGTAGTATAGTGTAAAGTATAGTGTAGTGTATATTAGTGTAGTGTATAGTGCAGTGCATAGTCGTGTAGTGTATAGTGTAGTGTATAGTAGTGTATCATGTAGTGTATAGTGCAGTGTATAGTCGTGTAGTGTATAGTAGTATAGTGTAAAGTATAGTGTAGTGTATATTAGTGTAGTGTATAGTGTAGTGTATCGTGTAGTGTATAGTGTAGTGTATAGTGTAGTGTATCGTGTAGTGTATAGTGTAGTGTATAGTGTAGTGTATAGTCGTGTAGTGTATAGTAGCATAGTGTAAAGTATAGTGTAGTGTACATTAGTGTAGTGTATAGTGCAGTGTATAGTCGTGTAGTGTATAGTGTAGTGTATCGTGTAGTGTATAGTGCAGTGTATAGTCGTGTAGTGTATAGTAGTATAGTGTAAAATATAGTGTAGTGTATATTAGTGTAGTGTATAGTGTAGTGTATCGTGTAGTGTATAGTCGTGTAGTGTATAGTAGTATAGTGTAAAGTATAGTGTAGTGTATATTAGTGTAGTGTATAGTGCAGTGTATAGTCGTGTAGTGTATAGTGTAGTGTATAGTAGTGTATCGTGTAGTGTATAGTGCAGTGTATAGTCGTGTAGTGTATAGTAGTATAGTGTAAAGTATAGTGTAGTGTATATTAGTGTAGTGTATAGTGTAGTGTATATTAGTGTAGTGTATAGTGTAGTGTATAGTGTAGTGTATAGTGTAGTGTATCGTGTAGTGTATAGTGCAGTGTATAGTCGTGTAGTGTATAGTAGTATAGTGTAAAGTATTGTGTAGTGTATATTAGTGTAGTGTATCGTGTAGTGTAGTGTATCGTGTAGTGTATAGTGTAGTGTATAGTCGTGTAATGTATAGTGTAGTGTATAGTGCAGTGTATAGTCGTGTGGTGTATAGTAGTATAGTGTAAAGTATAGTGTATATTAGTGTAGTGTATAGTGTAGTGTATATTAGTGTAGTGTATAGTGTAGTGTATCGTGTAGTGTATAGTGTAGTGTATAGTGTAGTGTATCGTGTAGTGTATAGTGCAGTGTATAGTCGTGTAGTGTATAGTAGTATAGTGTAAAGTATAGTGTAGTGTATATTAGTGTAGTGTATAGTGTAGTGTATCGTGTAGTGTAGTGTATCGTGTAGTGTAGTGTATAGTCGTGTAGTGTATAGTGTAGTGTATAGTGCAGTGTATAGTCGTGTAGTGTATAGTGTAGTGTATAGTAGTATAGTGTAAAGTCCAGTTTACAATAGTGTAGTGTAGTGTATAGTAGTGTATAGTAGTGTATAATAGTGTAGTGTATAGTGTAGTGTATAGTGTAGTGTATAGTGCAGTGTATAGTGCAGTGCATAGTGTAGTGTATAGTGTAGTGTATAGTAGTGTACGTGTAGTGTATAGTCGTGTTGTGTATAGTAGTATAGTTTAAATTGAAGTTTACAATAGCGTATAGTGCAGTGTATAGTACTGTAGTGTATAGTGTAGTGTATAGTAGTATAGTGTAAAGTGAAGTTTACAATTATGTATAGTGTAGTGCATAGTAGTGTAGTGTATAGTGTAGTGTATAATGTGGAGTATAGTAGTGTAGTGTATAGTAGTGTAGTGTATAGTGTAGTGTATAATGTGGAGTATAGTAGTGTAGTGTATAGTGTGGTGTATAGTAGTGTAGTGTATAGTGTGGTGTATAGTAGTGTAGTGTATAGTGACGTTTACAATAGTGTATAGTGTAGTATATAGTAGTATAGTGTAAAGTGAAGTTTACAATAGTATATAGTGTAGTGTATTGTAGTGTGTAGTAGTGTCGTGTATAGTAGCATAGGTGTCAATCCGTACGGTTTACCCCGTATTCTTGTACAGGGAAATTTAGTTTTCAGGTCCATACGGCGTACAGCCGTTTCACTACGGGCAACAACATTGTTTCGTCTATTTGTTTGTGTTTCTCCCTTGTGATGGGAACTTTGTAGGATGGACGTTGAAGGGGCACGGGGTGACGCATAAGGTCTGAGTTGATCTGGAGTAAGGTATGGCACCGATAAGGGATTGATAGGTTTTCGTTATCCTCTTGTACAATCGGTGAGCTGCGTGATACAGGGGTTGGGGGACAATTAAGTTATTTCATTTATATAATCTTGGTCCTTTCGGTAAAGTCACGTAGAAGGGAAATAATAAAAAATAAAGCAAAATTATTTTATTTTTTCCCTTCTACGTGACTTTAACGAAAGAACCAAGAATATGAATCCCTGCAGTCACGAAAGCTTTAAATCGAAATTTATTTCATTTATATTAACGCTGTCATTAAAATATTTAACAAAAATATATTCTAAGTTAATAGTTTATCTGCCGTTATTATTATCGTCTGTCTTCCTCTTCAGATGAAATTTGAACATGGAAATTAAATTGACGAGAATACATTCTGTTTTACGGGATGCTAAAGAAGAAAGCTATGTTTTTAAAACAAAAAAAGTCTGACGTTATTTTCAAAATAGAATACTGTAACATGCATGCGTTAACGTTAATGGCAGTCAGTTTCATCATTTGTTAAAATAAATATAACATTGTGTCCTGAATGTTGAGCCAGTCTGTATATTAAGACAATTATACATACGACAAAAATGTGACATTTAATATATCCAGACTAAACTTCTTCACAATTGTGTAATTTGAAAGAAAGAAAAAAAAGCTAACGGCGTTAAGAAGCCGAATTAATCCGTTTCTACATGCATGGGAAAAAAAATGTTTTTGGTACGTTAAACAGATGAATCTTCATTGCTCGACTCGCCTAAACGATGAATGTCACAGGCAGCAGGGGTGAAGAGTGCAAGCGAGAGAGCAATCCACTGTTGTAGCGTGCTTCTATGCTCCCTCCATGCAGGCGGCGTGGTGGTTGGGGGTGGGGGGCTTCTTTAGTGGCTGCAGGCCAGAGGCCCTCCGCCAGCTTGGAGGGCCTCCAGTGATGGAAGTGAAAAGTTATTTTCATTTGTGAATGCTGAATTTTATTTGTTGTTGTTAGCCTTGTAAAATTTTTTTATTTAACTTTGTTTTCATTTTGTTGGTTCCATCGGTAAAGTCATTTTGATTTTTTTACTGGGGAGGGGGTGGGGGGGGCTTACAGTTACCTGTAACCCCGGGGCCTACAACATCTTAATCCGGCCACTGCCTCCATGCCTCCTACACCAACCCACACACTGGCCAGGCGTGGTGAAGTATGGTCATTTAACAACCCCCCCCCCTCACGGAATGCCACATCCTTCAGCGTAAGCGGGAGGGGGGGCTGTTACACATCATCGTCAGTAAGGTCAATCAGGCTCCATACACAGTACCGTACAATTGAACACGGAGGAGGCTTTCGCGACCGATATCAATAACAGAGCGGGTTTTTTGTTGTTGTTGTTGTGGGGGTTAGATCACGTAAATATAAACTTTAGTAAAAGTTACTAATTGTCCTGTGTCGGGTGGCGGCGGCGGGTTTAACGAAACACGTTTATATATTTAGGCGATAGAACCCACAAACAACCAGTGTTGCGGACTACTGTAACAACATTACCGGCGGTGAGTGCGAGCCCTGGTTGCTATGGCGCCGTCGCTAAGGGCGCCTACCCTCCCCCCTCTTTCCCCCCCCACCCACCCCTTGAGTGACGTCGCCGCATCGATACAACCCGTACAGTACTGCGAAAGAAAGAAGAGAGCGTGTGGGGGGGAGGGGCGATGACGTCTGGGGGGGGGAGGGGCGATGACGTCGGGGGGGGGCGTCGCCACGTTTCGAACGCGATGACGACGTTTCGACTGCAACACAAGCAATCATCATCATCAGGTGTGTAAACCACAGCAACAAAGAATAGGGGGACGAGGCGGAACTGATGACGTGATGACGTCACGTACCCCGCTCGGGTACAAATTGCGCGGGGGGGAGGGGCGGTATCGTACATGATGACGTCATCGCCGTTACGGTCGAACGCGATGAGGTCAAACACAGCCCCACCCAAACCTCGCATAAAAGAAAAGGGGGAAGGGCGATGATGTCACGCGCCCCGCTCGCATATAAACAGCGCGGGGGATGGGGGGGGCGGCGTAGCGTTCGTCGTACGTGATTCCGTCATCACCGCCCCACCCCCGTTAGAAAATAAAAGGGCGGGATCCGATTACGTGGTGACGTCACGCGCCCCGCTCGCGTATAAACCACGCGGGGGATGGGGGGGGGACAGCAGAGATCGTGCGTGATGACGTCACGCGTAAATTTTTGCCTCCGCCCGCCCAGCGAGCGGAGGCAAAAAGAAAAGGGAGGAAAGTCGGGGGAGAAGGGGGGGGGGCGCGCAGGAGGGCGCTGGCCAAGTCGACTCCGCCGCCGCCGTCGTCGTCTTCCCCTCCTCCTCGCCCACCTTCTCCCCCCCCCTCCACCACCACCACCACCCCGTCACCTCCACCCCGTCACCTCCACCTCTCCCCACCGGCGGTTCTGCCTGCCGGCTCTTTATAAAGGGGGCCCGCCCGCCCGCATGCCCCCACTTTGCGCGTGCTGCTCACCGCCGGCCGTAGGTGGTTCTCTGCGACGCTTGCGGCTGAGGCGAGAGCGCCCCGCGGGTTGCCGCTGCTGCTGCTGCTGGTGGTGGTGGTTCAAAGTTACCGGCGACGACGTTTCCAAGTGCCCGTCTGGCCATGCTCGCCACGGTCCAGCCGCCCGCAGTGACCCCTCAAGTGGTGATGATGATGATGCTGATGATGGTGATGATGAAAGAAGAAGCTCGCTGCTAGCCCGCTCGGCACCTCCGGGTGGGGAGGAGGGGGAGGGAGGAGTGGGGGCTTTACCGTAATTAGCTTAAGCGTTAATTGGCAGTTTGGTCGGGGGGAGGTAGTTAATTGATTGGTGACTCGGACGTGAGGCGGACGCAAGCGGCCGCGATGCGAGCGCTGCGGCTGAGGAACCGCTCCATGGTGGCGCTGCTTTTCCTCTTCTCGCTGTCGTCTTCCTTCCTCTACTTCATCTACGTGTCGCCAGGCCTCGGTGAGTGCGGCGACACACACACACGCGCACGAACACATCGGGCACACCGCGGCCATACGTACACGTTAGCTACACATCGGGTACACGCCGGCCACATCAAGTACATCAGCCGCGCGTATCAGGTACACACCAGCCACAGATCGGGTACATCAGCCACACACGTCATCCACACATCAGGTACACACCAGCCATTCATCAGGTACACATCAACCGTACAGACACACGTCAGGTACACATCTACATGAGGTGCACACCGGCCACACATTAGCCATTCATCGGCCACACATCAAGTATACACCTGCCACACATCAGGTACACAACAACAACAACCGCCATTCGCCACTCAGTGGCAGTGACGCCACCACGACGCGTGTGCCAGGCTATGTGCACCCCGAGGCCACGCGAAGTGTCGAACGCCCGTGGGCAGGAGGTCACGGGGCAGACCCAGCAGGTGCCACGGGTCGACTGAGATGAGTGGCTGGTGCACCACCTGTGCCCCCTAATGTGCTAACCCGCTGTGCTTTAGCCACCCGGCGCTCCGCTCGTTGTTGTGAGCGTCGCTCCTCCGCCCTCCGTTGTTGCTTGAGGGCGACTGCCTCCAACTGCCCAGTAGCGTCCTTCACGAGCCTCCTCCACAGAGGCCGATCTTGACACCGCTGGTCCCAGTCATCGGCAAGTCCACTCAGCTCCACGTCCTCCTGTACCACATCACTCCATCTCTTCTCTAGCCCGTGCCGCGCCCGCTTAGCCCCCTCGATCCGGACGAACAAAAGCTGTTTCGGCATGCGGGCTACATGACCCAGGCAACGCAGCCTTGCCTGCCGGAGGAGCTCGCCGATGGGACCTTGCCCAGATCTTTCAAGGATTTGTGAGCTCCTCACACAATCCAGCCTGGTTAAACCCAGAATGGATCGTAGGCAGGCCAGCCTAAATGTTTCTAACTGGCGAAGATGTTCCATTAGGGGGGTCCACGTTTCGCAAGCGTAGAGAAGGGAGGGAATGACCGTGGCCGAGAAGACCTGAAGCTTAGTGCGGAGCGACAGACCAGGTAGCTTCCACACAGCGTTACGCAACCGATGAAAAGATATTACCGCTCGACTGATTCGGAGTGAGACCTCTGCTGTTAAACAGGAGCCGGTCATAAGCACACTGCCCAGGTATGGGAAACTCTCCACTCTCTCCACAACTGCCCCATCACCGATTTGGAGTTGTGGGGGTGGAGTGTCCGATGGTACAAAATACCCAGGCAGGTGCTTAGTTTTGGTGGGGCTGATGGTGGTAAGGCCCCATCTCTTAGTGGCACGCTCCAGTCTCAGCAGAAGCGTCTCCAACTCCTCCTCTGAATGAGCAGCTATTAACAAATCATCGGCATACATAACGTGGTAGAGCAATAGGGAGCCATCCCTTGACCGCACCCGCGCATCGATCAGCCTCCCATTATATCTGTACCAAATGGAGATTCCCCCGGTACAGCTATTGAAGGCTTCACGAACTACGTGGTCAAAATAGATGTTAAATAATGTGGAAGCCAGAGGACATCCCTGTCGCACCCCAAGGTGTACAGGGAATGGCTCTGACTCCCGGCCACGTAGTTTTACCCGGGCCCGCTCACCATCATGAAGGTCCTTAATGATCGTGGGCAGAGGGTCAGGGGCTCCAAAAGCACGAAGAACAACCCAGAGCCCAGGCCTACTGATGGTATCATAGGCCTTGACCAGATCAATAAAGCAGAGATGTAGGTCTTGTTGGAATTCCCTACACCTCTGCTGTAGCAGACGCACAGAAAATATGGCATCTGTGTAAGACCGTACACACACACACATCAGGTACACATCATCCACAGTACATGTGAACTGCACCCATTAAGCTACACGGCCACATGGCCAGGAACACCATCACATTCCCTGCCTTCTTCATCACAGCCACACCCAGACTCGTACGCAACCACGGTCACGAGCACACATGGACACATCTACACAAACACGGGGATACCCACACAAACACACGGACACGGGGATAACCACACAAACACGGGGATAACCACACAAACACGGGGATAACCACACAAACACGGGGATAACCACACAAACACGGGGATAACCACACAAACACGGGGATAACCACACGGACACGGGGATAACCACACCGACACACGGACACGGGGATAACCACACAACCACACAGACAGGGGTATACACATATACAACCACACGTTGCAACCACTTATGAGTAGTGTGGCGAGCACCAGACACGGACGCCTTTGTATCCCCGATGATGACGTGTACACAGTCGCGCAACACAACCACGTGCCCTCGGATAATTGCATTCCAAAAAAAAACAAAGACAAACATCCCCAGTGTAGCCTTTAACAGACTGTTGGAGCAAGTGCTGTTAGCGAGCACCTATGAAGGTCGTCACGGCACACGAGGGGGTGGGTGGCCAACCCAACGCCGGGCCGCCTTTGTCTCCCCCAGTGTCGATGTTTACTACACACCGCACCAGGTTCTCATTTGAGGCTGAGCCGACCAAGGGGAGGAGGCCCAGGACCGGTTCAGATAATCGCCACCGGTGCCGGCCCTGAGCGGGAATCCAACTCGGGGCGCCGGGTTCGCAACGCAGCGCGCTAACCGCTGCACCACCGCTCCCCACAGCCGCACACACCACACACGCACACCACACACAACCGGACCACACACACACCACACACGCGCACACACAACCGGACCACACAACAACATCCTCGGACGTACCAGTTAACCCTGCGCAGTTTATTTGAACACGCTGCAGCCGACAATGCCACGATGCATTGCGGCGGGTGTGTGTGTGTGGGGGGGTGAGTGTTGTGAGTGTTGTGACTGTTGTGCCTCCTCTGGAGTGGTGGGGGGGGAGAGGTGGTGTGAGCGGTTTAAGCGCAGTGCGCTACGAAACCGGCGACCCTCCCCCCCCGCTCGCGGCCAGCAACATTGTCGGCGAATATCCGAACTATGTCCCGGGCCTCGGCCCCCTCAGTGGACTCAGCCTTCAATGAGTAGTACCGTGCCTGGCGTGTGTGTGTGTGCGCGAGGCTTTGTAATCATCGGCACCGGGGAAATAACCGCGCAGCTACCCCCCCCTCCCCTCTTCCGTGCGAGCAGTGTTGGCCTTAGTAGGGTCTCGCAAACATAACTCTTTAAGCTGTCCGGGTGATCTTTAATGTGCAAATGTATTAAGGTGGAGTGAGCTGTTTGTTGGTGTGTGTGTGTGGTTGTGATGTGTGCTGGAGTGGTGTGTGTGTGTGCGCAGTAAGGGGGTTACAGCTGGTGCATCTGCCAGTCATCTCAGTCGGCCAACCCATGGCACCTGGGTCTGTCCCGTGACCCTCCTGTCAGCGAACTTTCGACCACTTCACGTGGCCTCAAAGTGTGTACCTGGCCTGGCACACACCCAAAGCTCTCTAGGTGTGTTCTAGAGAGCTTTGGGCGTGTGCTAGAGAGAGGTGTGTGTCTTGGTGTATGCATGTGTGATAGGTGTGTGTCTTGGTGAATACTTGTGTGATAGGTGCGTGTTTGTGTGTGCTAGAGGTGTGTCTTGATGTGATCACGTGTGCTAGATAGGTGTGCGTTGGCGTATGCATGCAGTGTACTTGGTGATATGTGTGTATGTGTTTCTTTATTTGTGCTGAAGTGGTGGAAGTGTGTGTGTGTTTTATTTGGGTAGGGGTAAGCGTTTGTTACTTAAATTGTTGGTGCGTTACCCGGTTCAACCCGGTCGTGATGCCGACCACTATAGCCGGAACCGGACAATGTTTGTTTGAGCCTGGCCTGTTGGACTCTGCTTAGATAAACTTGGGCTTAATGTCACGGTGTAAGTGCTCGGCGCTTTTACAACCCACCCCCTGTGCTTGTAAATAAAAAGCTCGCTATGGCCGGTTCTTGCCCAAGGTGTGCCGAAATGAAAAAAACTGAAACTGCATGACGTATGCGCTTCCCCCCCCCTCTCCCCAATGGATTGCACCACCACCACCATCACCACCATCACCAGCCACGTCTTTACGTCTGGTCACTTATTGCCGAGCGGTGATGAACGATTTGCGGCTAATGTACAATTTTACTGAGGCGGTGCCTGTCCCGTGTCGCGGGGTGGAGGAGGATAGGGGGGGGGCGACGTTAAAGACCCGTGACGTCATTCGCACGTGCCGGCCATGTACCTGGCGACGTGACGGTACAAAAATTGGCAAGTTGGGAGTATTACACCACACACACAAAAAAATAGACAACGCTGGAGCCGTTTCGCAAGTGCACTGCTTCTACGAGTGTGCAAGTTTGGTGTTGTGTGCAAGTGTGGTGGTGGTATTGTGTGCAAGTGTGGTGGTGGTATTGTGTGCAAGTGTGGTGGTGGTATTGTGTGCAAGTGTGGTGGTGTTGTGTGCAAGTGTGGTGGTGGTGGTGTTGTGTGCAAGTGTGGTGGTGGTGGTGGTGTTGTGTGCAAGTGTGGTGGTGGTGGTGGTGTTGTGTGCAAGTGTGGTGGTGGTGGTGGTGTTGTGTGCAAGTGTGGTGGTGGTGGTGGTGTTGTGTGCAAGTGTGGTGGTGGTGGTGGTGTTGTGTGCAAGTGTGGTGGTGGTGGTGTTGTGTGCAAGTGTGGTGGTGGTGTTGTGTGCAAGTGTGGTGGTGGTGGTGTTGTGTGCAAGTGTGGTGGTGTTGGTGTTGTGTGCAAGTGTGGTGGTGGTGGTGTTGTGTGGTGGTGGTGTTGTTGTGTGCAAGTGTGGCGGTGGTGGTGGTGTTGTGTGCAAGTGTGGCGGTGGTGGTGGTGTTGTGTGCAAGTGTGGTGGTGTTGTGTGCAAGTGTGGCGGTGGTGGTGTTGTGTGCAAGTGTGGCGGTGGCGGTGGTGGTGTTGTGTGCAAGTGTGGCGGTGGTGGTGGTGGTGTTGTGTGCAAGTGTGGCGGTGGTGTGGTGGTGTGTTCAAGTGTGGCGGTGGTGTGGTGGTGTGTTCAAGTGTGGGGTGGTGGTGTGTTCAAGTGTGCG